ATAAGAGCCAAGGCAGCAACGCGTGGCCAATCCTCAGTGTATAGTCAGACGTTGGTTCCCACCCGGAGATACGAGGAAAGCAAAAAATTATCCTTCCTTGAAAATGGTTTAGATAAAATATTAATAACAAGTGTACCAAAAGAGTTATGGGAATATTAGTAATAGTAAATTACTGTAAGTAGTGTGTAGCTTCTTATCAATTGCTTTGTCTTCCAAAGACAACCCTCGCCCAACTTCAAGCAGGTAGATAAAACAAGCGTCAACAGTTGTACTCGTAAATCATCGTCAAGTCGATGAAGTATCTAAGATATAATACATCGACGTAGGTTGCATTTTTATCCACAAACATGGGTGTGCCAACTAGAATCAAGAGGTAACACCTCAATGCACACTGTTGATGGTAATCAACCAACATATCATCACCTTCAGCATCCAGTGCAATTCGCATATGGTCTTTATAAAGTTCTTCCAAAAATTTAAATCTAGCATGAGCACCTATATTGTCAGCTACCTCATTTGCAATCTTATTTGGGAAAACCCCCAAATATGTAACCAACATCTCATTTTCTTTCTCTCGACTAAGCCTTCTATGGTATAGTAATTTTCTCCTGACAGAAAGATGCAGGAGCCATGAAAAATCATCCATGGTAATGGTCATCTCGCCAATAGGAAGGTGGAAAGATGACGTCTCTATATTCTATCTCTATGGAAATGCCGCATGCATACCATGATTTATGGTAATGTGCGCATTTACACATTAACCCACAAGATCATAGTATCAGATAACATTCTTGAACCAGTTAGTGTCAGGCTGTTCCAAATCCCATATCTTCCTTTCGTGGTTTACAAATTTTAGACATTGACACTCCTGTTAAAAAAACAAAATAACCATCAGTTGTGATTCAATTAGTTTAAAACACATGTGAGTTAAAGGTAAATAAATATACATCTCCTTCCCAAACGCACCTAACAACATGGTCTCCATATAGATGAAGTAAGGATGTGTAAAATTGGGCACTTGGATAATTATCTATAGGGGCATTAGAAACGGGTTCCTCCTAGGCTTTAGTGGATTCAGGGACTTCAAAAGCTTAAAGGGCTTCAAAAGCAGGGAACGCGTGGCCCCGTGCACCAGAAGCCTGAGACAAGTGACTATGGAAAGTAGAACCAGATGGTTGTGAACCCCGACTTTGTGAACCATCAAACGAGGTGTCATCGACTAGTGGCCTCATGGCCTTACCCCTAGCCCTCTCACGTCGTATAGATGCATGCTGGAACACGCAGTCATGCTTAATTTTGTCTGGTTTATTTTCAGCCATTGCACCTATAATAAAACAAGAAAGTTACGTCAAAATTTCAACCAAAATGCAACCAGTCACAGATCCAGAGATACATCTCCAAAAAATAGTCCATACATAATCTAGAGATGCATCTCCGGATGAACTCACGATTTTCATCAATGGAAGAAACCCCATTATTGTAGTAACCTCCAACTAAATGAAAATGCATGTCTATATTAGCTACCTATTTTGATTGTACTACTATCTAATGAAACTTAAGCAACCTATGTTACCTAAAACATCATTCAAAACACACAAAAAAGAATGAAATGCTAAACCTACCAAAATATAGTTGTGATTGAGAACCTTGAATGTGGTGAGTAACTTTGCAGCAAATGAAGTAGAATGGAGTGAGAAAACTTAATAAAACTTGCTTAAATAGGGTTTGAAAATGGTTTGCATCAAAAGAGCTCAAATGGAGTTTTTTGAATGAGTATTCAAAAAATAAAGGAGGAAGAGGGAAGGGTCAGACACGAGTTGATGTATAAAAACGCGTCTGGAGATGCATCTCTGTAACACCTGTTGTATTTTGAATTAATGATATTTACAAAGATGTATCTCCGGACTCACCCTTATGGTATACTGAGATACATTTTTGGATTAAATTTTGACAAAATAAGGGTGACTCATCCATTTGCATTAAAGGGTGTGTAAAAAAAAGGTTTGTTCAAAAATACATCTTTGAATCGTAAGGACAGTTTTGACTTTTCACTGTGGTAGGAGAGAATCTATAGGGCAGAAAAAGTAACTCCCTTTTATTATTGGCTCGAAATCTATTTGATACATGTTTGTTGCATTTTTTGTGTTTGTATTTTTTAGATTTTGATTCGTAAATTTTTATTATCTCTTCATATTTTAATAGTTGCATGATATCTATGGTATGTTAGGTTTCTATTTCTCTCTTTTGAGGGGAATTATTTAGTTTCTTCTTATTTAAATATTTAATTTTTTGTGGTTTTAGATTTTTTTTTTATATATTTGAATTTATGTGAATATCACATTTATAGTAGAAATCCTGTCTTGAAGTAATTCGGAGAGAAGATAATCACTTTATAAAATGCTCATCTTTTTCAAACAAGAAATCTAAGGCGTGATTTGGTTTTTAATTTTTAAAAATTATTTTTGTAAATTAATCTTAAAAAATAATTATTAAGAAAAAGAAACCATTTTTTTTATAATCCTACTTTTAAAAATGATTTTAAAATTGTACCATATTATAAATTTGTCTTTAATAAAAAATATACTACTTTTTTTTTTGTTTTTTTTCTCTTCCACATTTCAAAAATTAAAACTTCTAGAATTTATTTTAATGTTTAAAATTTTTAGAATTATTAATTAGAGAATAGTTTAAAAAAATATTTTCAAACAAATTTTATTACTTTCAAATTAAATAAAAAATAAAAAATAATTTTATAAAACTAATTTTTTTTTTCTTATTTACCTTTTTTTGATTAAAAAAATTTAATTTTATCATAAAAAATAGCTGAAATATTAACTATGAGTCTGTTTTTCTTTAAATATTATGGGTGAAAAAGAAATATTATATGATTTTAATTGAATAAAATTTATTGAAGAACTATTTGAAAAATTTATTGAATACTCAATAATAAATATTAATAAAAATTAAATAATTAAATATAGTTGTTTGTAAAACATGATTTTTTTACTCAACATTTCAAATTTATTCACAAAATAAGTTAGGTTTTAAAAAATATTCTCAATCCACCATCCCACTTTCAAACAAAAAAACTTGGAATAAAGTGGTGACGCAGACAAATTGACAATTTCTCTTACTTTTATAATGGTGGCACCAATTGAATTGACGACTGCATATGGTGTTGTCAGCTCAATTGATGTCAGTGTGTATATTTTTAAAGGTAGCGCCAATTCATTTGACATCAGTGTGTATTGTGTTTTTTTAGTATAAATGGAGACGCCTCCTACCATTTACTTCACTTCACACCTCATTTCAAATTCTTCTTTTATTTTCTTCACTAACTCTATCCTGATTGACAAAAGATATGGGCATGTATGTTATTCGGTAACAAAACCTCCGATGAAAATATTTTTTGGAACCATAGTGACCATGTGAAATTGCAATTCAGAACATTTCAAAACATCTCAGATCCTCTGATGTGCCTCAAATAATGGCACTAGTGAAAAATTAATGAACAATGAGACTTTGGCAATTGGAAGGACTTCGCTAAATCTGAGTGTCATAAATGAAGGCACCATTGTGACCATGTCATACGTGACGCCGTGATTCCAAACAAATCTAAACCAACTAATAATTATATGGTTTGGTATAGATCGATTGCAACTGGGTTTGTCTCCAAAGTTAGGTATCTATACGACCCACACTAAATCAATTACACACAAGAACCTTCAACGTCTAACCCACTACAAAATTACTAGACCAATTGCTCACAACCCCATACCTAACATAATCACTGACCCACAAACACACAAACCCACAACCAAAACATGCTAGACACCCAACCATAATACTAAGAGCGTCCCTCATATCATCACCAACAAGATGACTATTATCAAGACACCCAAAATACACATGCCCCCAACACATCGTCCTACCATAACCAAAACACCCAAGGAACATATAACACCAACCATTCCTTCTACCACAACCAAAACGCCTAAATATCACAACGAAAATATGACTATCAAACACCACAACAACCGTTTTAACCTTTCTCTAACGAATCATTCACATTAATGTCTCCCTTCAGTCGTTCAGACCGCACACCAAATCAACACATCCCAACTACTCTGGCATGGGTCGCAAACTTAGTTACGACAACATGTCACTTCTTACACAAGATTTTTTAGAAATGCAAAAAGTTTTTTGGGATTCTGGTGATGTTCCCGAGACCTCAAATCCTTAAACACCTAAGGTGAATCAACAACGAATACAACAAGTTAAGGCAGCTATGAGATGTGGAACCGGTGAGCAGTATGACTAACCTGATCATCATCATTAGTGTTTGTAAAAGTATTTTAAATTAAATATTAATGTTTATAAAAAACATGATACAAATTGGTGTCAAATGAATTGATGTCATCTTTGAAAAGGTACACACTAACGTTAATTGGACTGATAATATCATATGCAGATGTCAATCTAATTGGTACCACCATTAAAAAAATATGTGAAATCGTCAATTTGTCTGAAACCACCATTATATCACAAATTATTTTTGTTTAAAAACATAATAAATTGGAAATATTTTTAAAACCTTAGTTATTTTGAAAATAAATTTAAAAATGTGAATTATTTGGGTAAAAAATTCAGTATTGTAAGATGATAAAAATAAATTTGAATATGATTTTAGTTAATTAGAATTTTTTTAAAATTAAACTTATGCAATTATTTTAAATGGATATAGTATCATTTTGTCAAAAAATAAAAATAAAATTAGGAGTCATATTTTTTCTATGTTCGGTCGGAGCAAGTCATTGTGGTTCGTTTGTAAGTCGTAGCCAGTTTGCTTACTCAAATCATATCACACGTGCGAGGTATGTATCTCGCTGTTTACAATAAATTGTTTATTTATATTTTTATTGTGGTTATTTAATTCTTGAATTTGTATAAAATTTTAATTTTTGTGAATTAATGTTAGTTCTTGCAGTTTGATTCTTCAAATGAGACCTTCTTTTGTTGGATTCATCAGAATACTTGTCCTTGTTTTTGTCTCTGTTTGCTGGTAAGCTCTTTTTGCACTGCTAGGGTTTCAAAGCTCATTCACATTAATCTGTACTGTCTCTTTAAATCCACTCATTTGAATGATTAAATATGGATTATTAGAGTAATGGTAGTTGATCTTGACTATGTAATCTGCATTTCATTTTTACCTTAAAATTTCGATTATATGTTTGTCGGACGACAACCGTAGAATATGATTTATAGTTTACTGATATGATAAGAGGCCGCGACAATTTTGTAAACTGGACCGGAGTATTTAAATACAAGTTGTAATGTGTAAATCTCAAGTTTGAATAATCTGAGAGGTTTCAGTTGTAGACGTGAACACAATTGGCTGAACTTTGTGGTCGAATCTCGCGTGTTCTTTGTTGTTTTTCGTTTGAAATGGGGCTGTTGTTCTAACAACAGCTGTTTCCAGATTTATAGGTTATGTTGTGTCTAAGTTCTTATATCGCAGTTGCGTTGTGATCCTTGATGCTGAGGAGAGTTGCGGTTAAATGCTTTGGTTGCTCGCAGATCTTTTTTGAACCCTTGTTTGTTGTAATATAATCATGTCTATGTTAGCGTCGTTATGCATAGCCGGTCCTGAGCCCGGATAAATAGAGAGGGTTGTATTAGGCAGTCGACAGCCAACGTAAAACTTTGTCGAATCTCTATGACATGGATCAATTACGCAATAATGCGAATGGTCTTGGATAGAACATTATGGCGGAATTTGATTCATGTAACCAACCTCACTTAGTGGGATAATGCTTGGTTGTTGTCGTCGTCATCTGTTGTGCACATATGGTGGAAATTAACTGACTCTGGTGTTTTCAAAGTTGCAGCTCTTGTACCGATGGAAGTACTATAGCGCAGAGAACTTTAGCAATCATAAAGCCGGATGGATTGCTCGGTAACTACACAGATGATATCAAGAGAACAATTTCAGAATATGGTTTCAGCATTGTCAAGGAACGGATTGTTCAACTTGATGAGGCAACTGTGAAAAGATTTTATGCAGAACACTCTTCAAAAAGCTTCTTTTCCAGCCTAGTTAAATACATGACAAGGTATCCATTCATTACAGCATTGCTCGTAGTTCGTCAATTTTAAGGCCAAACTCCGTTCCGCCGAGTTGCATAGTTATAGAGCAATTTTTTTTCATATTGCTAATGGATTTGATCAATAAGCACACATGTATAGCGTCATCACTATGTCTGTTAATGTTACCGGTTCATCAGTATGATTTCTCCATAACTATAATCAGTGGACCAGTGTTAATCATGGTTCTGGAAAAGGATAATGCTATTGCTGATTGGCGTGCTTTAATGGGTCCTACTGATGCAAGCAAGGCCAAGATTACTCATCCTCACAGGTTTCCGTAAACAGGTTTTCTAATCAAACTAATTGTGTTTGTTTAATCAATTTCTCTATGATTAACTTGTTTATTAATTTGAACAGCATTAGAGCAAAATGTGGATTGAACACTGAAAAAAATTGTGTTCATGGTTCAGACTCTACCAAATCTGCACAAAGAGAGATACTATTTTTCTTCGACGAGCTCGCTCCAGGTGAGTAATCTTACTAGAGAATTCTTAGGAAAAAAGACATGACGATATTTTGCACGATCTTAACATACAGTATGTAATTACAGAACACGATGAATTGTAGCTAGTGAAAGTTTGAAGCAGAAACACGATGAATTTTGCATTTGTATCATTCAGATTATAAAATCTGAGCACGCTCATAATGCAAGTTTAGATTCAACGATTTGAACTCAAACAAGTATGTACATTTGCATGTTTGGATTCTAAAATCTATAATGTAACTATTGAAATAGTTTTGTTTTTGTAATTGGTTTGAACATGTTCTGCTGGATTCTTCCATTGACGCGAAAGTAGACATTGTACTTCCAATTATGTATTGTGTGCTGTTGATTCGAAAGTAGACATTATAACTCCAAATCCAATTATGTATTGTGTGCCGTTGATTCGAAAGTAGACATTATAACTCCAAATCCAATTATGTATTTTAATGATTTTCATTTACAATTTATGATTGATAAATATTTTACTTCACAGAACGAGTTATTTACTTGAGTTTGAAGGAAAGTAGAGAAGTTAGGATTTACTGTTGTTACAATAAAATTTTAGAGCTAGAAAAATGGGCTGCCTCCTTGACGGGCTGACCTATGATGGGCTCCAGAGGGCCTAAAAGTTCATAATACAAGAGAATTTCTTAGTGCACCTTAAATTCTTCTACTGCATTATGTGAATTTTCTCAAATGCCCATCGTTTTTAGAGATATATTTCTGGACGCACCTCTTGTACACTCAATAAAGGTCATTCGGAGAGGCGTTCCATATGTTGGGTTTTTTTATTCCAGAGATGCATTCCTGAAATATTTTAAGAAAATTTTTAATTGTTCAGTTCAGTAGATATTTTGGAGATGCGGTTCAATAAATATTTCGGAGATGCATCTCCGGAATTATGGGCGGCATTTTGAATTTTTCTATCACCTTTGCATGTCAGGTATTTTTGGAGATGCATATCTGAAAATATCTTATATAGATTGCAGTTGCATGATCGCTCCTTCATTGTTGACATACTTAGTTTTCAACCAAACCATTTACCCTAAAAACTCTTCATTCTCAATTTATTTTTTTACTCCAAATCTCCATCTTTTTGGTTTAACATATCATAGGGAGTAAAAGAAAATATAATTTCAGGTAAATATTATTCTTTTTCCTCTGCATTGTTCACATTAATTATGCATTTTTCTCGAAAAAGTTACGCTTTGTCTGGAAATGTATCTCTGGAATGTGTATGAACTTGTTCGAAGATACATTTCTGAAAGTTGTTTGTGTTCATTTTTTAAGGCATTCTGCAGCAATAGTTGACCTTATGTTCTGTTATTGTTTTAATTATTTTCATTAGACATGGTGCATTGTTTTTCCAAAATAAATTGTTTCTCCGGATGTCCAAGGTGTGGTTGTTTCTTTGAATGTTCAAGGTGTTGTTGTGAAGGCGGTAGATGTTGGCAACAACTTTAAAAACAAACAAGAGTTTGAATCTCGTGATCAAATGCTTGAATGTATTCATATGGAGGCCTCTAAACTTGAATTTGGTGTGGTTATTGGAAGGTCTAAAAATGGTTCAGATAGAAGATGCACCTTTGTGATAATGACGTGCGAAATAATTGGGAAATATCGAACTCCTCTCCAAAATTTTAAAAGAGACGACACGGTACAAGAAAATATGAGTGTCCGTTTAAGGTTTGTGGTTACATTTTGACAAACAAAAGTTTGAGATTTAATGTGATATGTAATTTCCATAACCATGAATTGTGTTTAAAATTAGTTGGTCATCATACTGTCTGTCGGCTCAAACCGGAAGAGAAGAAATGTATTGCTGACGTGACCTTGAATCTTGTTCAACCGAAAAATATACTTGCAACATTGAAACAGAAACGACCTGACAATATATCAAATATCAAGCAAGTGTATAATATTTGGTACCTCACTAACAAGACACTTAGGGGGATAGAACTGAGATGCAACAACTTTTGAAACTATTGAATGATAACAATTACGTGTCAAGGCACCGAACGTGCGATGATGGAGTTACGGTTGGAAATATTTTTTTAGACTCATCCTGATTCCATAAAGTTATTCAACACATTTCCGACGCTGCTCATACTTGATTCAACCCGCAAGACCAACAAGTATAGACTTCAATTATTTGAGATGGTTGGTGTTACCTCAATTGAGAGGACATGTTCTATTGATTTTGCATTTCTTCAGTGTGAAAAAGAGGACAATTTTACTTGGGCATTAGAGGTGTGTCAGTCACTGTTGAAGGTCTAATGTGAGATGTCTAAAGGGATTGTTACTGGCTGCGATACCGCATTGATGAATTTGGTTGCAAATGTATTTCCTTCTTCTTATGCATTACTTTGTAGGTATCACATAACAAAGAATGTGAGAAGTCAGGTTAAACCTACGGTATGGACAAAACAAATAAAGCCCGAAGATGGAAAATTAGTGAAGGCGGGCGTGGTCGTGGAAAAAATAATGGATGCATGAAATTGTATAATAAATTCTTCAACAAAAGAACTATATGTCGATTCCGTTATTCATTTCAGAAAAGTGTGTGAAAAGTATCAAGATTTGTTGAAATATGTTGAAAGCACAATTCTTGACCAAGTGAAGGAGAAGATAGTTTGTGTGTGGACTGATAATGTTAGACACCTTGAAAATACAACAACTAACAGAGTTGATTCGACTCATGCTACTTTGAAAAATTGGTTGGGAAATAGTAAGAGGGATTTGTGTAGAGACTAGGACTCCGTGAACCACATGATTAAAAATCAGCATAATGAGATACAAACAACATTTGGTCGGAGCATCACAACTTTGGAACACAAATTTAAAGACAACACTCTATATTCTCAATTGGTTGGTAACATTTCTCGGACGACTTTAAACTATAATTTTTTACGAGGCTAAAAGAGCTGATAATGTAGGCTCCGATAGTGCAAAGTGTGGATGCACAATTGTGAAAACATATGGTCTCTCATGTGCTTGTGTTATTACCAAAAAAATAAAACTTGGTGAACCAATAATAATGGACGAGGTTTGCACTCATTAGAAGATACTTAGGTTTAATAATGATGAATGCATGGATGATGGTCAATCAAATATCTCTATTTTTATCGAATGAGAAGTGATACAAGAGAGATCTTTGAAGGCCGGTGACAACATGAAACTCCATATCAAAGAATAATTGAGGAAGATTGCCTATCCAAAAACCACCTTCTCAACCGGTAAAAACAAAAGGTGCTAAAAAAAATGAAGCCTACACCGAATGACAACTCAACTACACGGTCTCCTTCATATTTTGAACATGTTGACAAAGTTTTCCCGGCTCACCAACTCCGAAATCTCAAAAACGTGTATTAGCAAACCACTTTCGACGCTGCTTCCACCGAAGGTTCTATTCATTGATAAGATGTTTATTTTTATGCACAAATATATCGAGTGGATCGTCAACGTTGTGGGGGATGGTAATTGTGGTTACCGAGCCGTTTCGAATTTACTCGGAAAAAGAGAAGATAGTCATATACTTGACTGACATCAACTTATCTAGGAGTTAAATATGCATAAAGAATCATACATGCGGTTGTACAAAATGAAAATTACGATGCGGTCTATGAGTCTCTTGTTTCATGCTTGAGCCGTCCGACACTGGAGGCAAAATGGTCGCGCTTCCCTGAAATGGGTCACCTAATAGCATGTGTGTATGATAAAGTGTGTGTCGACTTGACACGCTATAGTTTTTCGAAAACCTTTTACCCACTACGCACCATACCACCCCAAAATCTATATGATCGAATCATGTGTATTGGATGGCTTTCAAAATTAAGTCATTTTATTCAAGTTTACTTGAAACTGAGATGCCTTATACCACTTATACCACCAGAGTGGACGACTCATTCAACCACAAAAGTCGAGACTTGGCCATATCATTTTATGGAAATGGTGCAAGAATTCGAGAGATTGAACAACATTGAAAAATAATCAAATGCACAAAAGTCCAAGGGATTACCACTTATAGATTTAGTTGGCGACACGTGTTTCGATTCGTTTTAATTTCTTGTTTAACTGGACAAGTAATTGTATGTAATTGTGTCTCAATATAAATGAAGTGTTATATATTCACCTTTTGTTCATATTTTGTCTTTATGCAATTTTGGTCTACCCCATAACAACATGTGTGCTTTTGCTAATGAAAAAAATGGTTTTGTTTTAGTGTTCTGGTGTGATACTAGTTCAGGAGAAGTTCCGAAGATGCATCTTCAGAACAAGATAATAGGGTGCGGTTCCAAAGATACATCTCAGGAATCAATATGTCAGTTAATGAGTGTCCCAAATTAATTTATGACTTCTATACATTTAGGTGCTCTAATGTTATATTTCACACAAACTCAAAATGCCTCAAATGTCACAAATAAACATCTATTGGTATGTCGCAAATATCTCCTTCTCTAACTCTACACCTGGAAGAACGTTCAAGCTCACCGACTTTACCTCCCTCGAAGATATCAAAGACAAAATCCACCATCTCCTACCTTACAGAGACAATCGAAAGATTGTGAAGCTCGAGTACCATTCACCTTCGATTGACAACGAAGGGAACATTGAATTCAACAAATTTGAGTTCAAGACGCAAGCGGATGTTAAGGCTATGTGGAATACGTATTTCGGTTTCGAAAGTGACGCTACAAAGATTGGTCTAAGATATTCTGAAGATGTGCAAGCGCCCACTGGAATATTGAAATGTAATATTGAATTTTATGTTGAAATCAATATTGTAATGCTCATTTTATGTTATGAATGTCAATTTCATTTTGAAAAATTACTTTTTCTTGATTGTGTTACTAGTGTGTTTCCGGAGATGTAACCACGAAATTATTTCGGAGATGCATCTCTGGAATAAATCAAACCAAAAAAAAGGCGTAACTCCCTTTATTGAGTATATGTTGGGATGCTTCCGAAGATGCATCTCCGAAAACAAAGGGTATTTGTGAAAATTTACACAGTGTATTAAAAACATTTAGGGTGCAATAGAAAATCCTCTAATACAAGCGAGCTAAAATTTAATCTTTCAAAC